GCCGTGTTCGAAGCGGTAATTGTTATGTAAACTCGCGACCTCTGAACGACACGGTTCGCTCACCAAGATAGTTCTAGACCCGTAGGTGCGGCTGCCCCCCGGCCCTGCCATCAAACCGGTTTCCGGCTCGAGACGCGCGCCGTTGTAAGTTGCAAATTGTTACAATTATGCCTAAACACAAGGACTTTAGAAAGGAAAGGTAAAATCGAAATGGGACGGAAATTAGTGAGGTTGACGGGATTAGATTTCTTCGGAAGGGGTGTAACATAAGCACTCTTCCAGGCTTGAGGGAATTTAGAGGAAGCAAATGAGTGATAACATCAAGGAGAGGAACAATCATATTACGGCCAATGCTGTCGCTACCGACAGCATTTGAGGAGGTGGATAATATGATTTTCTTAACATCACATACAGTAAATTGACTAAAAACGAACGGAGAATAATTAGGAGTCGGACTTACAGAAAGAGAACGAAGTGTTTGCAGTTTATATTCACTATCAAAAGAGTTAGAAGGATTAGAAAAATGTTGATTTAATAGTTCAACATCAACACAGGGAGGTGAAGCATTAAGAGAGGTTCTACCAACTCCAACTGTTTTAAGAAACTTCCACTTGAAAACTTCCACTTTATATAGATTGTAAAGAATACTTATTGAAAGTCACTTTTTTCAAATACCACAACCCTTTTTATACAAACTTAGTTTAATAAAGTTTTTGAATTTAGTGTATGTCAAATTTTGTATATTTTCTTAGATTTTTTGTAAAAGCGTATACATCGCCCCAAGAATGAATTACTGACTCGGTGGAGTCGAGTAACTGGTACTACTAGCTTGTGTCTGTTCCTAGTATTTACAGAATGAATATCACTCATTTTTGCAAAACTACGTCTAGCTTTGTTCATTGTACGAATTTATTTTCTTTTAGTGCGAATCGGCCTGCTTCGCAAATGGTGCTACCATTTCAATTCTTTCTTTCTTAACATTGCTCCGACGTCGGAGCTGGGTTAGTTTAGTTTAGTTTACGACGGGCTGTTTTCCGCAACTTCACGTCTAAGTGTTTAACCCTGTATGATGCAACTTACGGACACGTCAGCAACACGTCAGCCGCCATTTCTTCCTCCTCCATGCATGCCATGCACAGGGGGCTATCTGTAACACCTATGGTAAATATTTTTTTTGTAAATGGAGCCATGTCCTGTGATAGCACTTGTTACTATCCTGATCTGTGGCTTGTTTAGTCTCATTAGAACCCTGATTAGGCGACTGTTTATTACAGGCAGGGCCTCCCTAGCTTGTCTACAGTCTACTAGATTTTTCCAAAGCTGAGCGTGTAGTTATAAAAGTTTCTACGTACCAGTGAAAGAACGGATTCCGGCTCTATAGTGGCCAGAGCCGACCACCTTCTGGCCATTTCATCTGCTGCATATATTACTCCGCAATAAATTGCGTAAGGTCTTGCGGGACCACTTTGGTAAATTTCCTTCACATTTGCCACTGTTATTTCACACAGCAGGTGGGTTGGCAGCCGAAGATTACTATTTTTTTAGATTTAGTCCGTCTCCTGTTTAACTTTGTTCTGTCGTTGGCCTTCACTGCCACCAGATAACGTGGAGTATCAGCTTCTCATACGCCGCTACTGCACGGCGCATTATGTTCTCGTACGTCTACTTAGGTTATTCACAATGTTAGATAGGTACTTAAATAAAAATATTTTTTCACACCATTGTTTTATTTTCTACATATACATAACAAAATACTGTCGTTGAAATACGTACACTCGTTAGGTACACAATAATGATATATTATCAAAGGAACATTACATAGTCGACAATGTAACAGACTAATGTGAACAGAACAGAACCCAAGCTAGGTTAATTAAAACTCGTAAAAATCAAAACTAAGTGCACAATACGGGAAAATTCGGACAGCTGCGGGAGAATTTGATGCCGGATATATATTTTTAATGGAGAGTAAATTGATTCTTTGTTAATTTTCTGGCAGACGACCCAACTTCCCTTGCTATTCTTACATAGGAGAATATATCAATTCGAAGTCATATTCGATATAAATAATAAATACTTAAGGACATAAGATGTAAACGGCGCCGGTAGTTGCATGGTCTCATAATACTAGGATAGGATATTTGGATAATATTCCCAGGCAAGGCCATAAATATAATATCGAAGATTTGTAAGGTAGAAATATAAGGAATGGCGCAGACGTAGAGCTCATGAGCTCAGACTTAGACGCGTTGGAGCAAACGTGTCGATTTATTGTGCTAATAATGGCAACATATCTGCCGAGAAATTCACAGCAATGAATTTGTGTTAATTATATAAGTATAAATAATGTAGAATAAATTTCAATAATTGGTGAATAGAAACAAGTTTCGTGGGAGCAGCATGCGCTCCACGTCCGCGCCCCTCTCCAGGCAGTACATAAACAAGTCAACACTTCAGTCAGTCTTCTCGTTGCACTCAGCTCATACAAAACATGATTAATTTCTATAAACATCTAAACATTTAACAACGTTAAATGGTTTGTTAGTACCTTTGCTAAAGGGTTTCTACTCGTTACTTATTACCTCGATACCGTTGATTGAAAAGTGTATTTAATAACGAGCTATCGTTCAGTGTGCGAGGCTTGTGCACACTGAACTCATGTAGGCCTATTATTTAATGCCGGTCACCCACGTGTGCACAAAAGACATTGCAGTTTTGGTAATTGTAAGTTATGTCGAACTGAGTTGTTTTGACAGGTATCAAAGCGCATGAAACTTGTTCATTCGAATAGTCTCTCAGACACTGTCAGCGTAAATATACCTAATATTTACCTTCATTTATATGCAAAGTGCTAACGTATACAAGTCTGTGCACATACGTGCATGACGAGCATAACAAGACACACACAACATCGATACGACAATGACTATGCACTAAACCAAATTTAAACTTTTTAAGCAGGATCTTTTAGTTAAGATTGTTCTGCTCAAAGGTACCTACATTAATACAAAATTAATTAATAGTTTGCCGAAAATATTTTCTAGTTTGTGTATTTACTAGCCATTTTGGGCATTACATTATGTGTTTTACCAACAGAATCAAATTGAAGTGTAAACTTTGTTTTAGTCTACAAAACCAGATATGCACTAAGTATATATTTGGTCCTAAAACGCACAAAACTCGGCGTCGCTTCTTGTGTAGTACAGTGTAGTACAAAATTGAAATATAACCCTAGTTGTATCATTAGTGCATTTTTGAGACTTGTGAATCAATTAGAAAAGAAAGCTAGGCCAGATTTTTTATTAAACTAACGCCAGATAAGCCATGATATCTGGCCCAACTAAATGAACATAATTATGTATGGGCGGACAGCTTACCAGTAACGCATACAGTGATACAAATATAATATGTAGAGATATGTCTCCGAAACGGCCTGCAACCACCTACTTAAGTCCATCGTTTTAGCGTCTGAAAATACTTGAAGAAAACTAATACGGGCTGTAGTGATATCCCGATTCAATGTTATAGTAGCTTTTTATGTAAAAACACAGCTGTCTTATTCAAATGTTTGTTAAGAGTCTAATTTTATAGATGGTGATACGTAGACAATGAGTTCATCATAGGTATATAAAGAGTACAGAAAGTAGTCTGTCCATTAATTTTTCGTATTCAAGTACAATAAGTGGATATACAATATATTCACAAAAATATTATCACAACAGTAGCACAGGTTCGAGACCTAAACTAAGTTTCTTTCCACACTGTTATATAAAAAAATTGTGATATCTATTCAGTTTTCAGATATTCAGTTTCTTCCCATTAACGATTAATAGTTTAATCTATAAGTTGCGTTTTCACATTATCTCGCACGAATTTATTATTGGTTTATGTTTTATTATATATCCATTATCCTTGTACGATGAAACGCACATATTTTCCAACAACGTAATTGTATTTTGTTTTGTTAACTTAGCACTCTTACTCACACAGCACTTTTATGTACCAAGCCAATACTCATCGACCAGTGCATTACCCGCATTCATATCAAGCAGTCATTTTCCTATCATACTAATATCATATTAATTACCATATCATAGCAACGTTTATACAACCCAAAAGTGCTAGAATTACACCCTATTTCAATCGAAAACCAGTTCGATGAACCAATAAATGTGGGGTGTCGTACAATGCTATCTGTCTTGTATCTCTTTTACTTACATAATCTACTAGGATATTGCGCTCCTACCTCCTAAAATCGGATCTATATCAAATGTATTGTATATTGATCAAAAACCATGGATATCGTATCGGACAATATGAAAACGCTAGAACTATTGACAAAAACATTATCTTTTTGTGTTTATTGAGTAAAAAAGGTGTAAGCAAAGTTTTATTATTTATTATAAATAACTAATTAGGTATCTGTGCAATCTAAAATATTTAACAGCAATTGGATTATCGCGAGCGCGACCCGCAAACAAGAATTTATCCGAAATTAAGTTATTGGCTAAAGGGAACGTCGTAAGAAAATCCTGCACGTTTGAAAAATAAAAAATATTTTCAGCATCAGGTCGGTGACACTATCTCCCAAAAACAGGTTATAATATGTCTATTGTAGACTAGTTATTCCCTTCGCCGTAATAGAACTGTTGTGATATATTTTGAAACGTGAAGGACTAATTTTTTTACCGTCTGATAAAAATTATCCATGAAACAAATCAAAACCGACTGAATTAAAAGTAAACTGTTCAATATGCAACTGTAATTTTCAATTCGTTTATGTTGTATATTATTCGATGAATAACTTTTAACTGATGATTGAAAAATCGGTCCTAACAAGCATAACATCATAGTAGTCATGATGCTGCATTACTGCACCCGTTATAATCCAATTGCTAACTTAACAATGAGAACAGCGTATGAAGGTCGCATCAGTGTTTGTAGCACGAAGGTTCCGGTTTATTCGCAAGTTTGTCGAGGTCACGCCGCGCTACGGTTGCTTAGCGACGCAGGCCCAACTTCTGGCAGAAAATGTTCTGAAAATGTTTAAAGTTTTTTAACTATTTTGTCAAAATTCTTAACATAACTTTCACATTAAGTCCAGAAGCCTCTTAAGTAAATCGCTAAATACAAGCCTTCACAAGAAAGCGTTCGGAAATACTGGCAACCCATCACGTAAGGCAGACTGGTCACTGAGATATACGTTAGGATGGGTTTTCCTCCTCATTTGGTTTAATCGGTAGGCTCTACCAGTGCAGGTTCCATATTTCTGCCGGAAAAAAGATGACATACTTATTCTCTTATATATGTACTCTTGTGACTTATTTAAAACTAGCTGTGCCCGCGACTTCGTTCGCGTGGGTTCAGTACTTTTGCCAACTTTTTTAAAACTTTGGCTATAAAAGTTTTTTGACGTTGAGATAATAGGTGTTATCGGGCTTAAAATCATTTGGGTTTTCTCTATCAAAAAATTTTCAGTAGCAGCCCGCAGTCAAGAGTTTAGCAGTGTTTCATCCCTATGCCTCAGAAAGCACGTGAAGCCGTTTTATCCGTATCTGATCTCACTATATTTTTGTCGGTTAACTAACTCGTACACAATGATAAATAGACAATTTTTAATATTTTGTATATAATGATCAATAGATCAATAGATTTCAACTTAACAAATACCAATAGATTTTTGTGAAGTTCTATAATAAGTATTACTCATAATTATCATAATTTCGTTTTACGGATTTCTCCACCACCATACAATTGATAACCATTTTTTCCCACGCAAACCATAGCAAACCATGTAGGTATCCTAGTTTTAACACTTTAAGGTGAAATATTAGGAAAATTAAAAAAAACTACTTGCATTCTTCGAATCCTAAAGTATTAGTAGGTACTAATTTTAAAGTTACAGTAATCATTTAATAATTTTTCCCTATACCAATATGAAATCACCTCGTAAAAAACATTCTTAAAACCTTATTTTACTATATAAGGATTTTAATTTTTCAAGACTTCTTTCTTAATGAAAGGAGGTTATTGTTCCAATTTCACGCATCTACATCCAGCGGTTTAAGCTGTAGATTTAATACAATATTTTCCATACAAAATTTGAACCCTTATTTTAAAACCGTAAAAGGAAAATTTATTATTTAATTACTTTTAAGCATTTTGTATTTAATTACTTTTATGCAATTTGTCTAATTTTTCTACCTTCAAATTGAACATTATCTACCCCTTCTCCTTCCCCCGGTAAGAGGTTGTTTTAAGAAATACCAAAATATTTTATTTCCTTACAAAATTTGCATAAAATAAATAAATAAAATATTTATTATTCAATATAGATTACAAGTAATTCTTATTGAAAGTCAATATTTTACGTTACCACTGGTTCGAAAATAAAACCTCTGTTCTGGGAAGAACTAGCAAGAAACCCAGCGGGACTTTTTTCAAATAAATTTTTCAATGTCAAGGGTCACAGAATATTTACAAAATGTATTTTAGAAACAGCTTGGAAGCGACCACCTCATTCCCGGCGGTTATTATCAACCATTGTATTCATTTATATCATAATAACCATTTTATATAGTTTTTGTTTAATTAAATACTCTCTGCCCCTGCCCCCTGTACCGTAATGGGTTATTTTCATATCGCAAAATACGTATTTATTTATTATTTAAATTCGGTACTCTCAGTAAGGCATCGAGTCAATCGCCCTGTAAAATACTTTTGTAATAAAATAATAAACTGTAACATCATTATTTCACACTCTCAGGGATTTTCCAAAATGATTTCGTAGCGGATTTCTACATCATAAAAGGAAGCAAATTTTAGAATTCTACTTCAAGCGGTTTAGGTAGTCACTCAGTTTAATTTAGTATCTATGACCCAGTATATAAAGAGTATATTATTGTAGATATACAGTGAACAGTGACATCTGTCGATAAATGGCAAAACAAACTTTACGTCAAATTAAATTTTATTCTGTTCGTTTTAACGAGGTATGCCCATTATAAATTCAATTTTGTATATGCTATTTGCAAAGGAAATAAAAAAACTTCTGAATATAAAATAAGAATTTTATCTAATTTTAAGTACCTATTAACTAAGCAAATAAAACGTAAATTAATAATATGCACTTTATTACTAATTCTAAATTTTAAACTAAAGAGAACAAAGGCATCAGGATGGCACTGTGAACTCTTCCCCGCTCCAAGAAGTATGAGAATGCCTATAATATTGTTCCGAGCTTTAGGTTCGGGATAATAAAAACTGCCGATTGAATTACCAAAATTGACACTTTAATTACTGAACACCAATCAAAACCTAAATCACACTAATAATTAATCACACTTAACACTTTAGTTCACTTTATTTCACCGAAAGCTTTGCTCGTATCGCCAATTCAATACTGCCCCGATCGCGGCTTTGAACGGCTTTATATAGACTTTTTCCAACGAAACATCCAGAATATTTCAGCAAATACCGGCCCCGACCGACCATGTGCAGAAAGTTCAAGTGTGGGGCTTTCTAGAAAGATTAATTCTTCTATTCGATACTAGATGACGCTGTTGGGAGAGTTCTAGAATGATCTTGACATTCCTATTTCTGATACATGATACCAGATGGCGCTAGTGCCATCAACTGTGGCGCTACACTATCGTTTTTTATATATACATTTCATTGAATGCATATACTCAGCCGTGGACCACATTATATTGGCTGTAAATTGTGATATATAACCCACTTCTTCGGTTCCGTAATCAGGTAAAGCGTGCGTAAATCAATGATGCCAAATATGAGGCAACCAATGGGGAGGCCTGTTTTCAGCAGTGGACATAAAATTGTTGTAACGGTTATTAGATAAAAAAAAACAAAGGAAGAAACATACTATGCTGGTCTAGTACAAACATTGCGTTGAAAGCAGCAAGAAAAATAATTATTTACATATTAGGTGTGCTTCATATCTCGTTTATAATGAAAGTTTATGGTGTTAGTTGATGTGTGGTTAATTTGGTGGTGTAGTTAATTTATTATTACACTTAAATAAAAATCATATGATATTTAGAAAAGAACGGGTAGGAATAATATAAAAAAACTCAAAATCGGGTAACGTAATTTTTCAATTTCACGATAATGTGAATTTTAAAACTTTTGAAAGTGCTAAAGTGAAGTATAATATGTATACTGCCAAGCTTCTATATACTGCACCCCCCTTTCCCAACGGGGGGTCGCCTCCGATACGTCTAAAAGATCTTACCAGGTTAGAGTCAGCCTCACACGTGGTATTTAGTGGATAAGCACTAAGGTTTCTCAGTGAGTCCCACAAAACCACGCAGCTGGCTGCGTGGTATGCTTGGAGCATTCAACACCTCCCTCCCCTGCTTCCCGGAGGGTAGCCCTATCTTTGTTATAAGTTTCTATATGATTGATATGATGCTTGCCGAAACCAAAAAAATGTTAATAGCTCTTTTAAAATTTGATTTACCATGTTGTAGGTACTCGGCGGTTAATAAAAATATTATAAGCACACCTTAAAATTTAATAAATAATTTGCAAAACACCATCTACCGATGACTTTGGTTAACTATTGTACTTTTTTAACTAAGATATTACGATTTATGTATTTTTTATAAATATTTATTTTTGTTTACTGCTCTTAGAAATAATAATATCATAATAGAACACTATTTTACATTATTTAATTACAAAAATGTCCTTGATCACTCAACACAGCCATTGAACAAATTCGTACATATATTTCGTACCCATACTTCAGGATATGAATCACAACTTTTGATAGGATGAACTGATTTTAATAAAACAAAGACTAAATTTAAAACGAAGATATGATTTACAAATTTCCTAACGATTATTTTGATATAAATCAGTACTTTATACATGATACGTTAACAAACAAACAGACAGACAGATAGACAATTCTAAAAATGATAGAAATGTATTCAGTTACTTATTTTAGGTCCCTCTCAATCAATTTTATTACAAAAATATAAAATGTACAGACATCTTTAATTCACATTTTTATTATATGTATAAATATAGTGCTCTGAGGCAACTAATTACAATATTTTACAAATGGCTGTTGTCCCTCACGTTGAGACAGAGAAGAATATATATACTCTAACTAATCTTGCTTAGCTACGACGTAGCAGTTGAATTTAAAATATTGACTATGACACGAGGCAAGTAAATAGTTGATTTCATCTGAAAGAACCTCACGATCGAAGATATGATCAGTTTGAACTAGCATAATGCTTATTTTCCGTTAATAATAAATATGACGAGATCTAGAAACCCAACTAACAGCAGAAAGATATCCCGTCTAGTTTTTAGGGATATCAAGAACCTGCCTCCTAGTTTTATTATTGAGGTTGTAAGTTTTCAGTGGAAAACATGAGATCACTCGTCACAAGTAATACCTTGAAATGCGGCACACGCAGAGAGTCCACGGAGGCGGAGGTCGCGTTGTCGTTCTGCACGTCGTCGTCTGCGCCAAACAATCACATATTACAAACATAGAAAAAAAGGAAAGAAAAATATGCACAACACCATATTGTACATAATATTTTCTCATTTTGAATGTTTAGCGTGTAGTCGCAGTTTAAGATTAACCACTACCCTCTATCAACCCCTGGGTGCCGTAAGAGGCGACAGAGTGTTTTCCTCTGTCAGGAGATGGGCAGCAGTGTCTTCCTAATAACGACTAAAATAAAAAATAAAAAAACTGCGGTTACCAACCCGCTTGCCAAGCGTGGCAACTATGGCAAATATCTCCCCTATGAGGCAAATATGGGGGAGGCCTATGTTCAGCAGTGGACTTTAATGGCCTGTAACGGAACGTTATTAATAATAAAGTATTAAACGTTGCCGAACGTGACGAAAAGGGCTCGCACTCAGCATTTGGTGTCATATTAAATTTTTTATCGACTATCAAAACTACGATATGTGGTATTGGTTGCCTCGTTTGGTCTAGAGGTCGAAAAGGCGTTTGCTGATGAGGTCCAGGGCTTTAATCCTGAGTCAAGCAAAAGTCAGTTAATGGGTTTTTCTGTCCAGAAAATCTCAATAGCAATCCGGAGGACGAAGTTGATGGTGTTTTCATTCCCGTGCCTCGGAAAGCATGTAAACTCGTAGGTCTTGCGCCTGATCTCTCTCCAGTCACGTCGGATTACCGACCTATCGGACTATGAGCGCGGAATAGAGAGTGTACATGTGCACGGATGGTCACGGCGGCCAGTCTCCTTTAAGACGTGACCGATATCCAAATACCTGGAGAACATTATTAAAAGTGGTGTGTTGGTGCGTAGTCAACGCACCAGGTACTTGTAAAGAGTGCGAGGGCGGGGGGTTGCCGTTGTCGTCGGTGTCGGGCTCAGTGTGCGGCTCGGTGCCCGTGCTGTCCCACCGTGCTCCGGAGCCTTCAGACCCCACCGAACCCGCTGACCCCGCTGATCCCGCTAACTCTCTCGACCCTGCCGACACGCTCGAAGCGTCCAAACCGCTCCAGGCCCCCGACTCGCCGGTCGCACCCGAGATACCCGATGCACCAGACGCACCTGCAACAATCATAGTTTAAAATAAATAGTACTGTTACGAGCTTGAGGTTCGTGACAATAAAACTGCCGATTGAATTACCAAAATTAACACTTTAATTCGCTTTACACTAATTAAAATTTAAAACACTAATAATTAATCACACTGATTCACTTTATTTCGCTCCGAAGCTTCGCTTGTCTCGCCAAATTCAAAACTTACCTGATCGCACCTTGCAGCGCCTATAAATACACATTAGCACCGAAACATCCAGAACATTCAAGTAAATACGCGCACCAATCGAGAAGGCGGGGGAAAGTTCAAGTGTCGGCTTCTAGAAGCTTAGTTCTTCGTTTCGACACCAGATGGCGCTGTCGGTTGAAAGATTAGTGATGTCATTTTCTGGAAAGCTCCCCCCGCTCTCGTCCCTGACACTACATGACGTCAACTTAGGCGCGCAACACTGCCCCCTCCTAAGACATGCTCGTCCCGAGCATTATCGGCCCCATAATAACGCGCCAAGCGATCCACATGGACGATCTTAGGAGTCCCTCTTGCGCCTTTCTGTATCCGGTAGGTTACATCGTTGATCCTGGTTACAATCCGGTACGGGCCGTCCCAATTAGGTTGAAGCTTAGGAGATTTCGCGGACTGGATTGTGCAATCACACTAGTGAACCTTCGTGGAACCCTTTATTGTTCATTTCGCGGTCATACCGAGTTTTCATCTTCTCAGACATTTGCTGGCCCGATTGTCTGACGTGTTCATAAATGTCATTCATTTTATTCCGCAAGTCATTTGCATAATCGGTTATACTACGTGGGGCATCAGGTGGTATCCCGGTGATCAGGTCTGCAGGCAACCGTAATTCTCTTCCAAAGTTTGCGAAAGCTGGTGTGACTGCTGTACTTTCGTGAACAGCGCTTCAATATTACAACAAAAACGGTTGTATGTGCTTGTCCCAATCACGTTGCCGATTGTCTACAACTTTTGCTAGGTACCTCTACAATGTCTGATTAAATCGTTCTACCATTCCATCAGATTGCGGGTGATAAGAAGTCGTTCATGTGTTCTTGCCGAGTTATGAGTACCCATAACTCGGCAAGTTTCCTGGAATATTTGAGACTCAAAATTCCTTCCTTGATCGCTGTGAATCTCTAAAGGTACTCCAAAACGACAGAAGACTTCATGAACAAGTTTATCTGCAACTGTTGAAGCTTCTTGATTTGGAATGGCGAAGAGTTCTGACCACTTAGTGAAGTAATCCATCACAACCATGAAATACTTGTTACCGCTTTCACTCTCCGGAAACGGCCCCGCCACGTCAATGGCTATTCTCTCTCATGGTGCACCAACATTGTACAACTTCAACGCACCTTTACTACGAGTCTGAGGTCCCTTTACAGCCGCACAACTTGTACATTTGCGACACGAGTCCTCGACGTCGTTTCGACATTGGACCAAGTAAAACCGTTCTCGGATCGTCAGTAGAATTCGTTTAACTCCCTGATGGCCTCTTGAACAATCATTATGGTACAGCTGTAGAACATCCGGTACTTTAGCTTTGGGTACAACCATTTGCAAATGACAGCTGTTTCCCCGAACATTTTCCCATTAACGGCACAGAACTCCATCCTGAAGCAGCAAGCTGTCCCACTGGTCCCAATAGCTTTTAGTGGTCGAACTCATCGCTGAGACGTCGCTCCACTTGGGCTTGGGAGCACTGGCCTTCATCTATTCCAGAATCGGCTTGATGTCCGGATCTTCCTGCTGTGCACGTTGTAAGCTGTCCTTCCACTGGTTGCTGAGGTGGTCTGCCCTGAGCATCCTCACGGATACCACTTCCTTACTCTCTTGACTAGTACAATGTCTGCAATCTTCAGGACAAGGTCTTCTTCACAATGCATGTGCGTTGCCATGAGATTTCCCGCTGCGATTTTCGATATCAAAGTCGTATTCATGCAGTAGTTAAATCCACCTCGCAACTTGTCCTTCTGGATTTTTGAACTGCAATAGCCATTTTAGTGCAGCATGGTCAGTTCGTAAGTGAAATTTTCGCCCCAGAAGATATTTGCTAAAATGCTGCAACGACTTTACCACAGCTAGCAATTCGCGTCTTGTGACACAATAGTTCCTTTCTGGTTTTGACAACGACTTGCTGAAGTACGCTATCACGACCTCTTGGTCACCATTCCGTTGAGACAACACACCGCCAAGTCCTATATCACTTGCGTCTGTGTCAACTATAAATTCTTTGCTTGCACTAGGGTATCCCAAAATAGGTGTTTTGCACAGACGGTCCTTGAGCTCCTGGAATGCGATATTGCAACTTTCATCCCAGCAGAAATGTCGCTTCTCCTCGGTTAGCTTATGCAGAGGTTTGGCTATATCTGCAAAGTTCTTCACAAATCGCCGGTAATAGGAGCACAAACCCAAAAATGCTCTAACCTGCGTCTTGTCTTTTGGGACCAGCCAATCCTTGACAGCGGCGATTTTCTCTGGATCCGTGCGGATACCTTCTTCTGATACTACATACCTCAAAAAGTTGACTTGCCTTTTGAATAGTGAACATTTCTTCGGACTCAACATGAGGTTGGCACTCTGAATCTTCATGAGCACGCGTTCCAGGTTTTGAAGGTGTTCCTCAAACGTACGGCCCATGATGATGATGTGATCCAAGTAGACCAGACAGGCATCGGCAATTAGCCCGGTAAGTACAAGTTCCATCAGCCTTTCGAACGTTGCTGGAGCATTGCACAGCCCAAACGACATTACTTTAAATTGCCACAGACCCTTTCCCGTCGAGAACGCAGTTTTATCCTTATTCTTAGGGTCAATTTCAACTTGCCAGTAGCCACTTTTTAGATCCAGCGTGCTAAACCACTTTACTCCTGTAAGCATGTCCAGCGTGTCATCAATTCTTGGCAAGGGATAGCTGTCCTTCTTCGTAACGTCGTTCAGACGGTGGTAGTCAACACAAAACCGCATGCTGCCATCCTTCTTCTTTACCAGCACCACGGGTGAACACCATGGACTAGAGGAAGGTTCAATAACACCATCCTTCACCATTCCTTCAATCATGGTTTCTACTTCCTTTTCACGTGCTACCGGCAATCTTCTTGGTCGCTGACGGATAGGCAATTCTTCTCCTGTGTTTATTTTGTGTTGAACTAAGCCAGTCTTTCCTATGTCAGCATCGTTTGATGAGAATTTATCGGCGTACTTTAGTAACAACTTCTTTTCCTTGACCATTTCGTTCAGGGAGAGAACGCTGCGACAGTCTTCCAAAAGTGGGGTCACTCTCGTTTGTGCATCCTTGCTAGGGGTCTCACTCGATAGATATCGGCACCGACGTAACCAATCCACTTCCTCACAAGTACCAACCAGCGTGCCTTTTTCTATAATCTGTTCCCGGTCACAAAAATTCAGCACACGTGCTTCTGAGATGTCAGTGGTTCTGACCAAGGTTCGAGCTACTTTCCATGAAAGGTCATTGTTTACCCTTTCCACAAGTACACAACGGTGAGCTTGCCCAGCGTTTCGAGGAAGATTAACCCAATCGTTTCCGATCTCGGCGGAAGAACAATCTTCTTAATGCTGTACACGTTCCCTGGTAACGCACCTTCCATAAAAAGTTCCTCCTGTCCACATTTCAAAACACCTTGCTTAACGTCGATCTCACAACAATTATTCCTCATAAAGTCTAGGCCAAGGATACAGTCGTCCATTATATCAGCCACGATGACATTATGCAGGTAGATCACGTTGCCTAGCTTCAACTACATCTCCTTCTCTCCACGGACGGGTATACGCTGACCGGTGGCTGTTACCAAATTAATGCGTTCTCGGTTGTATGCGGAGTCCCCAAGGAACTGAATTATAAGTTGGGAACTAGCAACCGTACGAGAGGCTCCAGTGTCTATGGTCAGTTTACACGGCATTCCGTTGACCTCGCCCTTGATGATTAGACTGTTCCCATCGTGGGTTTGTGAGATCGAGATCCTTGGGGCTCTTTTAACATCAGCCAGCACCCGCCCCGCAGTTCTGGCTTTTACTCGTTTCCCTGCTGCTGCTGGGCGGTGCTGTTGGCCGCACTACCCTCCTGAGATCGTTCACCTTCCCTTTCTAGGGTTCGCTTAGGGCAGCTGGATCGAAGATGGCCCCTTTCCCCACAGCCATAGCACCTAGGGCTGTATCCTTTGTTGCGGTCGCGAACTGTAGCTGCTGTAACCTCCCTGACGCGATGGGAACGATGATACTGTCGCACGGCTTCCACCTCCAGTGCATGGGCCAAGGCGTTCTTAAGCGTTTCGTGGTGCCCCAGCCTCACAGCAGCTCTGACTTCAAGGTCGCGGATGCCTTCGATGAATATCTGCACCAGGTTCCCTTCAATGAGCTCAGGTACAGACCGGTATGCTTTTCGCACCAGCTTCTCCATCTCTAGAGCCCACTGCTGCAGGTTTTCATTGATGCGCTGCACGCGATCTTTAAGCTGCGCACGAAAGACGTGTTCCAGGTGAGCGTCGCCATATCTCGCCTCCAATGCCTCAAGGAGCTGCTCATAAGTCACTTCCTCATCGAGAGCTTCCAGAACGGTTAAGGCCTGATCGCGCAGGCCTAGTGTGAGAGCAGTCATGGCCTGACTTTTATTCCAGCCGTTCGCCTTCATAACGGCTTCAAACTGGATTTTGTAGGCTGACCAGGAAGAAGTCCCGTCGAACGGTGGCACTTTGAACCCACGTAGCGAAGGTGTTGTAGCTACTACGGGAGCTGTAATTGCATCCCCCAGTTTGAGGTCGTCCAGCGTTTTCTTCACGTCAGCCATCACGTTGTCAACGCGATTGTTCACTTGGTTGATTCGGGTTTCGGTTTCTCAATTCAGGTTTCAGCTTTCGCGATTTGGGTTTCAGCTTCTGACAGGCGGTTGTCATGCTGAGTCACCCTATCCTTCACCTCCTTGATCTCCTTCCCGAAGGTAGCGGGCCTGTTCCTCTTGTCCGTCCCATAGCTGCTGTTCCAAACGACGGACCTGTTGCTCTTGTCCGCCCCGCAGCTGCTCTTTCAAACGACGGGCCTGTTACTCCTGTCGGCGAGCCAGCTCCTGCAGCATCACCATCAGAGCACCTAAGTCAGGTGCTGCAGCTGTAGGAGCAACTGACGGACCTGCAGCCGGCGGCTGGCTCTCCGACGTCTGCGGAGTTGCACCACCAAATCTTCTTTGGTCCGTCTCCTGCTGGCGTTGACTTCGGGTACGGACACCCTTCGTTTCCTCTTTAGGTAAAATCGGCATGATTTTATCCCACTTCTGACACCAATTGTTACGAGCTTGAGGTTCGTGAGAATAAAAACTGCCGATTGAATTACCAAAATTAACACTTTAATTCACTTTACACTAATTAAACTTTAAACTTTGTGCCTTCTTTGTTCATAAACATTTTCAAACTAAGCGATGAAGCCTTCAAGACTTCAAGATCATTTGAATAAAATGAAGCCAGATAAGAAGGACAAAGAAGTAGGTTATTTTTAAGACTTGGAAAAGAAGTATAATGCTCAGCCAAGTGTATCAAAAATTTTTTGTGGCTGCTAAGCAAGACGATGACGGACTTCGAGCTTCATACAATATCTCTTTGTTAATTGTTCAAACAAGTAAACCACACACCGTCCGAGAAACTTTAATTTTGCAAACTAAACTTAAAACACTAATAATTAATCACACTGATTCACTTTATTTCGCTCCGAAGCTTCGCTTGTCTCGCCAAATTCAATACTTCCCCGATCGCACCTTGCAGCGCCTATAAATACACATTAGCACCGAAACATCCAGAACATTCAAGTAAATACGCGCACCAATCGACAAGGCGCCGAAAGTTCGAGTGTCGGCTTCTAGAAGCTTAGTTCTTCGTTGCGGCACCGGTTGAAAGATTAGTGATGTCATTTTCTGGAAAGCTCCCCCCGCTCTCGTCCCTGACACTACATGACGTCAACTTAGGCGCGCAACAGTACATTTGAGTCTAGGGTATTCTAGCCAAAAATTTTATCACCGTACATCGCGACAAAACTCGCATGACTATGCATGTCTGAATGATTGGCGGTCCACCACTGTACGATTTATCAGAAGTATTCTTCCTCGTTCAAATTCCTTGTGGGATCGGCTACCACCAGCAATTTTTCTGGACCAATATGTCTAAGCGACCTTCAAGAAAAGAGTCTACTGTATTTTAAAAGGCCAGCAACGTACCTGCATTCCCTTGGTATTACAGTTGTTGATTGCGGCGGCAGTCACTTAGCATCAGGTGATCCGCATGCTCGTTTGCTACTCTTGTAAAAATAGCTATTTCTTAAAAAAGATTAAAATATTGGGTTCGTTCAACTGGAAATTTTTAACAGCTACGTTTTGACTTAGAATTCCAAATTCAAATAAAATGTATATTTAAATCATGTTATTCCTTTGTCAAAATTCTTGTTAGTTTCTTTAGTTCTTTAAATTTTTCACATAAAGCGGAATTTTATTAGTAAAAAACTAAGGCACAGAGTAAATAATAGTATGTACTTTAACCCATGGTAATCTCTATATAATATAGCGCTTTGAGTTTAAAATCGATAAAAAAGTCCCAGGTATTGTTTGATCATTTTTGAATTATGGAAGTAGTAACAATAAGATGTGTATAGACTGATATATAGAAGCTATTATAAAAACAATATTGCAATAAAATCAGTGATGACATTTAGAAATATTTCGAAGACATGTGAAGTTCGCCAACACGCATTGGGGCAGCGCGGCGGACACTTCCTTGCCCTAAAACCCCCTCAGAAATGAGGGGGGAGGCCTGTGCCCAGCAGTGGGACGTATATAGGCTGTAACTTTACAGTGATGACATGTCTTCTCGAATACCATTTATAAAAAGCATTAGGAAAAATTCTGAAGTAATTTATAAAGCTTTATATTTTTGGTCACTAATTTTAAAATTATAACAGTAGCTTTTTTTAACATGTCATATTCTTTATTTATTTATTTTAAGGATATCTACATGAACCGCTTTATTTTTAAACCAACTTCATTAGCAAGTTATTTTTAAAAGACACCTCCGAGTTTTTGGCGTCGTATAAACAATGGTTTGAAGTGGATTTTGATACGTTATGGCGGCTTCTCACTGCGTGTGTTATCACGCGCCGCGCCGCCCGTGTTGATTTATACGCGCAAGCACGCGCCACGCGCGAGCCCGCGTCACCCGTTTAGACAGGCGCGGCGCGACGCGTGCTTGCCCAAACTCCGAACCACTGACTCAGTGTGCTTAGCGCGGCGCACCTGATGTCGTGTGAGTCGAATTGCCACCTCCGGTCATGGAGCAATGCCACTGAACAAGAAGGCATCGCTGTTGCTTCAGCTGTTTTTGTCTTATGTGGTGTATATCATTTATTTAATAAAATTTACAAAAAAGAAGAAGAAAAGGCGCTGGTGGATGACATCGTTAAAATTAAAAATTCAGCAATCGTCGCATTAGACCACTCCATATCTATATACAGATGAGAGTACCTCAACGTCGGACGAGTTAAGACGAAATGAACGAGTTCAATCTTGTAAGCACACGCCGCGCCATGCGCGCCCGCGTTCCTACGCGCGAGGCCGCGCCGCGCCTTTGAAGTTACCGATTATAAACTGATAGCACGCGCTGCGCCACGCCTACCCGCGCCGCTCCGCGCCAAGCCCTTCTCACTGCGCGTGGCACGTGCGGGCGCGGCGTGGCGCGTGATAACACACGCAGTGAGAAGCCGCCATTAAAGTGGTGCGTTTGTGGATTAAATATTTACGCAAGTGAACTATTGGTAGAAACGATGAAATAGGTGCTTCGATTGTTATGTGAACCTCAAGTTATTGTATCTTGGCGCCTTGAGGTTCTATCGTCATCGACTATCTGCTGCCTCAAGCTGCCGTCAAAATTCCCCAAAAATACGCATGTGACGAATCACCATATTGTTATGAAGTTTTTACAAATTATTTTTAGGATAATTCCATAATATCATACGTGGTAGAGCCACGCTGCAGCTATATTATGGTCGTAGCACGAATGGGTCGGCTCCACAGGTGAAGGACCACGCTCTCACAGAATACCAGCGTAAAATAGCAGCTTAATGCTGCTGTGTTTCGTTTGGTAAGTGTAGAGATCCAGAGTCTCTTTTTTACTGGAAACGAGGCATTGCATCTTAGTCCTCAGGAGTGACAACGCATCTGCATTCTGATTCTCAATGGAGGATAAACGTAGATGTGTCTGGACCACCATAGCATTCACTTACAATCAGATGGACCGTTTGCTCGTTTGTTACTCTTATTCTATAAAAAAAACCTACTGTCAGTGAGGTCGGTGCGGCGGCTGAAGGAAAGGCTGTGCGAGGAGTGCGCAGGCGCATCTGAGGAGTCCAGCTCGAGCGAGGACTGCGACGCGCACGAGCCCGCCGAGCCGGAGCGAGAGCGCGACCGCGTCGACCCACCCTCCTCCTGGTCCATTGCATCTTCCTGGTAGTGGGATAAAAATATTTCCTTACAATTATTGCTATACTACAGTTGCACTTATATTGTACCTATTCGACGAAAGAAAACACGGCCTCACAGAATACCAAAGTAAAACAGTAGTAATGTTGCTGTGCCTCGAGGTTGTTGGTAGCGCTCGTTTTATGTTCACCTGTGCAGCTCTTGTTTACACCCAGCATCGCTAGTGAACGCCGTGTTCTGGTGTGGAGGCTGAGTGACAATGACTGTACACTGTTGTTTTAAAAAGCACATGGCCATCCTGGGACTAAGCAACGCAAGAATGTGCCGGTTTTATTCCTTAACGGAAGAAACGCTTCTGCACATCCTGACTGATTGTGGACCGTTAATGCGCAAACGTAACACACCTAAGAAACTATCTAGTTCGCCTAGAGGAAGTGAAATTGCTCACAGCTAAGCAACTCCTATTCATTGAAGACATAGGGCTTAGCAGTGAACTATAGCTATAGCAGCGATCACAATAGATCTTTTAGGTCGCAGTGTATGTATTGTTCGAAAATTTTGTCAGAATTTTGAAACAGTACCGAACTTTTTCATGTGCTCTAATAACAGATAGATCCAATTTTTAAGCCAGACCGATCCGGAAGAAAGAAAATATTATTTGTGTACGAAGCCGATGCGTAGGTGAGACATCAACTAATCTTAAAGAATTGTTTAAAATTAACATGTTTTACCCTGTGATTAATACAATTAAAATGCATTGGTTACTTAACTTAAATACCATCAAAATTCTATGATCCGTGGTCATTTTTATACAAAATGAAAATTATTCCTGAAAGGTCAAAACGCCTGTGTTGATTTGCAAATCAGTTGAACAGATGGGCGTAATATGATTTGTTTAGTTGTAAATTGGTTCAGGAACTTATGAGATTGAATCCATTATTTAAAGATCTTCAATCAGCAGAGCCACATAAAGTTCTCCGACTTAATGATTTCTTATATTTACGCGAACACTACACATTGATTAAAACTACTTTTACGGATTTTATCGCGTGTATTTAACTATTATTTTTATTCCCGACGTTTCGGGCGCCTAGGCGCCTAAGCGCCCGAAACGTCAGGAATAAAAATAATAGTAAAATAAACGCGATAAAATCCGTAAAAGTAGTTTTAATCAATGTTCTCCGACTTATTAAAATAATTATTGACAGGATATTTTTCCTCAAATGTGCAGACAGCACTCGTATCTTGCTGACTATAACCTGTACTATAACTGTTGCTAAACGGGAAACGAAATTTTGTACATTAAAACATTTAAAAATTTACCCACGTTTGTACCATGTGTCAAGAAAGAATGTCATATCTTAAAATCTTTTCCATAGAAATTTTTATTGCCCATAAGTTAAATTATTCCGAATTAATAAAAAAATTGCAGGCCAGAAAGTTGGCAATCTAGGCTATTCGTTAAGTTTGTTTTTGGTAGTTCTTGTTACACTGTCTGTAGAAAAACAGTTTAAATAAAAATTGTCAAACAAGATTTAACTCTTATTATGAAAAATAATATCTACAACTAGTGACCGCGGCAAGGCAAGCATAGTGGCGTTGACGAGCGCAACAGAGCAGTGCGTGCGGAGTGGACAACATTTCTTCAACGCGATTAAGCAGAAGCTATGGCAAGAGCGACAGACACAACTGTGCTTGCCCCGCATATACACCTGTAGATATTTGATAGGTCTAAAATTATTTAAAATCACGAAGAAGCAACTGCATAGAATGGGAACACTAAGGTTTTGTATTTAGAGGGGCGCCACTATAAGATCTCGTACCACCTAAACATTTTGCTAGGGCCGCCATTGCACGCAGAGTTGTATTTTCACTAACAATGGCTAATGTTTTTAGACAAGTAGGAAATATAGTTACATACTTATCTGAAATAATAATTTAGTACTATGAAAACGCTGTCATTATTAACGTGCGTACCATAGAATTTCATAGATATTCATCATAAATGAAATCAGTGTTAGATTGTCGAAAACATCGTTCGAGTTGTTGTTGTATTATATAAACCGTTACAAAACAGAACTAGCCTTCTCGCCCGCTAGCAGTCGATCATTTAGTATTTTATTACATAGTATTAATATATCTATGCATTCGACTAGAGGAGTTACGGACAATTGAGCGTAGCTTAGTGAGCAATGTATTAGGGCGGCAGAGCGCAGCAGTAGAACAGCTATACGAGTCTTTAGTTCGTGCACGATCAAATTGGTACTATAATGCAACTGCCTACTGACATCTAGGCATCCAGCTACGCATTACGCACTAACGTCAAATGCATTGTATTGTGCGCGAAATTCGAACTAAAAACAATAATTCTTTGATTTATACTTAATTAAACTGCGTTTAATTTTATGCTCTAGCAAAGGGGTATACAATCGCAGTTTTGTACTACTTTGAGTTGTTATGAGGTCAGGGCTCTTGCCATAATGCGCAGTTTATTTTTACCAAATTCCAGGGGTTCTGAATCGAATTTACGTTCAAAAGCCCGGATTAAGATTTTAAAATGTTTTAAATCTGGTATGTCAGATCAAATCTTAAATTTATTGTGATAAAGAGTTTCAAGGGTCAATCAGGCTAGGATTTTAGAAATTTCACAAATTGGCTCAGGTACAAATTGTGCGCTCTTTATGTCCTCCCGTGTGAGCTCATCGGCAAGTTCACTGCCTACAGTACCCGCGTGGCATGGAACCCATCTTAAAACGACCCTGTTGTTACATCCCAAGGCGTTTAGACGGTTCACGCTGTCTCCAAGTAGCTTCGAGTTTACGAAGTTTGCTGTGCACTATCCCCTTCACTACCACTTCCAGCACAACCACTCTCAGCACCAGCACTCCCAGCGCCACCCCTCCCAGCACTACCACACTAGGAACGACTCACCACCATTGATAATACGACATGTGTTTCGCCTCTACACGTGACATCCTCAGATGAAGTAGACTCTGCAAAGGTTGACACTATCTTCGTCACAACTAATCCCATCACCACCACTCCTAGCACTCTCTCCGCTCTCCACACGCTGCTATTTAGTCAACTCGTTGATCAGCGAGTTGTATAAATAGCAACTGTTTAGGCTCGTCGCTCACTTAGCCTTCAGCCACTGCAGAGACGACTTCACCTGTGGATGCTTCGTGTAGGAGCGAAACACGTAACGTATTATCGAGAGTGATGTGTCGCCCCTAGTTTGGTGGTGCTGGGTGTGGTGGCGACAGGGATAGTGCATGCAATGCACTATCATGCAAAATGCTCCCTGATGACGGCGGCCAGTGCGGTAGCCCTAGGGCCGCCACTGTCTGCGTGGCATATTTACGGTGCCAGCTTTTAACACAGTTTTTATTCTGGAATGCCAGTCTAGTAGTATACATAGAAGTTTTTGGCGCGAAAAGTCTATCAGTAAAATAATGCAGCCAACCCGTTGCTGTTCGTCGCGAACTTGGTACGCGCTGCGCTGCGCGGGTGCCGAGCTGCAGCCGCCGTGCCCCGCTCCCGCCACCCCCGCCGCTCCCAGCACCTCCACCGCCCCCAGCACTCCCGCCGCCGCAGCCGCTGCCACCTCTGCCTCTGTCGCATAAAAATGAATAATAGACATGAACAATGTTATGAGTATGAGTAGTTAAAGGGATATGTGCCCGATTTAAAATCAAGCGCAGATCTAGAGATCAAGGTCATTACCCTACAAAATGAATATAATTTTTATTAAGCATTTATTAAGCATGGAAACTATGACAACTATTAGTCCCCCAGACCGAATTTTGGTCACGACGGTCAGTCTCAACAGAGCGTGAACTGGGTTTCATAATGAACGAATGTGCGGTAGCACAGATACACACTATTCATTCACTATCCTATTCCGATCGGACGGAAATCCAACACAACCGGAGTGATTACGTGTTTACCGAGGCAAAAGAGTCGGTATCAAAAACCTTTTGACTTGGGCTGTAACTGTGAATTTCTTTACGGAAAACCTCAAAAAATAATTTTGACCCGAACCGCGATTCGAACCCGGGAGCTCATGAGCAGCAGTCACAAACGAACACTAGACCAACGAGGCTATTATGACAAATATCCCCCCTATTAGGCAATCTAATGGGGAAGAGCTGCATATGTTTAGCTGTCGCTCTTGTTAGGCTATAATGGATAACCGATTGTATGTAAAGCAGAACCCTGTGTCCAGTCGAGACAATTTATTGAATACAGTATTCTTATACGTGGCAAAGCCATGCTGCATCTTCAACATTGTAGTAACATTAATGGGTCGGCTCGATGGGCGTAAGACTGCGCTCTCACAGGAAGCTAGCGTAACATGAAAACTCAATACCGATGTGTTTCGTATGGTGAGTGTGGGGAACGGGACCAACAAAGAGAACTCTTTTTACTGGAAACGAGGCATTCCAACTTATTTTTCAGCATTGGCAGCGGATATGTTTTTTGACTATTAATCGACGATGGATGTAGATGTCTATAGACCACAACATCCACTTACCATCAGGTGGAATGCAGCTCGTTTGTCACCCTTATTATATAAAGAAAAGTTTTCAAGTGTCACCATGCATCTGCAGCTTGTGTTGCAGCAGCGGGAAGAAGCCGCGAGCCGTAGCATTGTGTGGCTCGTACTGCAGGATGAGGCGGCAGTACTTCAGCGCCTCGGCGTACTGACGACGCATTATCGCTGACAAAAACTGAAAGAAAGCAAGTCACTCGTTAATCATATCAAAGGTGTTTGTTTGTACGATATGTATATATTACGATACGAGGATATATACAAATATATTACGATATGTATATTTGTATATATGGCACAAATACTCAAACGGTATTCAATTTTAAGACGTAGTTAAGTCTCGTGGTGACACAGTTACTTTGACTTAAAAAGAGACAACACGAGACTTAACGCCACGCTGCAGCTATATTATGGTTGTAGTACGAATGGGTCGGCTCGACCGGGGAAGTACCACACTCTCACAGAGTACCAGCCTAAAGTAGCAGCTTAATATTGCTGTGTTTCGTATGGTGAGGGTAGAGATCCGGAGACCCTTTTTTACTGGAAACGAGGCATTCTATCTTAGTCCTCAGGGGTGACAACGCACCTGCGTTTTTGTTCTTAATCGAAAATAGAATAAATGTACATGTGTATGGGCCAAAGCATCCACTTACCATCAGGTGGACTGTGTGCTCATTTGTCACCTTAATTCTATATTAAACAAAATCTGAAAATTGAGTAGCGTTTAAGTATTTATGCCGTAGTTGGTAGTGGCGTTGTCTAGTAGCAACTATTATTTATTGTATAGCAGTAGCTAGTAGTGGTATGTGTGCGTACATGTGAATGTTTGCGTATACATAGGCGTTAGTATGCGCTTATGCAGAAATTTAAGGGTACATACCTGTATACCACGTAGTGACGATGTAAGAATATCCACGATCCAATATCGTCGTGTGAGTGTTGCAGCAGGCGACTGCCAGCGAAAGGAATTTAAAGATTGGCAGCAGCGTCTTCCTAATAACAACTAAAAGATAAAAACCTGCGGCTGCCAACCCGCCTGCCAAGCGTGCCAACCCGTCTGCCAAGCGTGCCAACCCACCTGCCAAGCGTGCCAACCCGCCTGCCAAGCGTGCCAACCCACCTGCCAAGCGTGCCAACCCGCCTGCCAAGCGTGCCAACCCGCCTGCCAAGCGTGCCAGTTGTGGCAAACATCCCCTGTGAGACAATGTATGGAGGATGTTTATGTTCAACAGTGGTCATTTGATGAGCTGAAACGGTAACTGTGTGGGTACTATACGAGTGGGTGCGTGTGTTGGAATGTACATCGGTGTAGATATGTGTACGTATGTAAGTGTACCAGATATGGGATTAGGGGTAGAGTTATTAGGGTCATAACTAAACTAAGAATAAAAATTAAATATTTGCGTAACGAATAATTTCAACCCATCAGGGGTTCTCCTCTAAATTATAGCTCTAAATCCGGGCCTAGAAGGTGCAAAAGTTTGGGTGGGTATGACGTCTAGGTGTGATGCGCACCTCTGCAAGGAACTCTCCGGGCGCGTCGCGGTCTCCACGCTCGGCAGCGGCCGCCATGCCCGCGCGCCGCGCGCCGCACGCCGCACCTCCTATCGCCGCGCTCTCGAACCCACCTCCACCTCCGTCGCCGCCCCCTGCATGCACATTCTATGTAAGTAAATACATTTTTGATTTCTTAAATTTACGCGAACACTACACATTGAATAAAACTATTATTTACAGATTTTCGCGTTTAATTACTTTGAAAGTAATTAAACGCGATAAAATCCGTAAATAATAGTTTTATTCAAAATACATTTTTATATAGAATCAGGACGACAGTCCACCTGATGGTAAGTGGATGCTGTTCCGATAGTCATCTGAATTCATCCTTGATTAAGAATCAAAATACAGATGCGTTGCCACTTCTAATGACTAAGATGGAATGACTCTTTCCAGTAAAATGGATCTCCGATTCTCTAGACTCCTACAATCTCCACCTATACTAAACACAACACATTATTAAACTGCTATTTCACGCTGGTACTCTGTGAGAGCGCGGTCGTTCCCCGGTCGAGCCGAGCCATACGCTTCACAACCATAATACAGCTGCAGCTTAGCTCTACCATGTAAATAAATAAATAAAATAGGTTGCTTGTTCATATCCGGCGACAATATCTATATTTACGGTTTAGATGTGATTTCGTACACTTGAGTAGTAAAATGGAGTATAGTTACAGATTTTACTGATATTTTTAGATGTTAACAACTGCTAGGTCCCCCTCATTTCTTAAAGAGTTATGAAACAGTACTTAAGCCCGCCGAGATGCTCCAAAGCATGTAACTTCACATGATTTCAAAAAAACTTATGTCTCACACATGCAGGTTTCTTCACGAAGTTTTTCTTCTGTGTAACTTAAATCATACATCCCGACATTGCGACGCGCTTACAATATGGGCCGGAATTGATGGTCTTGAATGCTAGCTTCGTCTGACACTCACGTTGGCTGTTTTTATGTACATGCCGTAGGAATATCAGTTCAAGGTTTTCCACCATCATGTGGGCGTACAATAAAGAAAGTTGTGCATGTGGTTGTTTTCGCTTTTAATTTTTGTATTTCTGACATAGAACATAATAACAATAATAGGTACTTGATGAATCAATAATTAAAAGTTGCCATAGTTTACGATTTACGAAGTGGAAATAAAAAGAAGAAAGAAATTAATGAAGAAAGTCACGAAATAATAGTACTCTATATACATACATTTTAATACTATCACAAATGCAGTACTAATTTTGAATTGAAAATATAATACTGCTATAAAGATAACCTAAATTTTTGATATTAAAATGAGCGATATTAAAAGTAGCCCTCTTTATATACACACAAACACACACACGCGTATAGTTTAAATTCTCAATTTTGATTCTCAATATATATATATATATATATATATATATATATATATATATATATATATATATATATATATATATATATTAGAGATGGGCCGAAATTCGGTACAAGAAAAATAATACCTACTTGCACTTATTTTAACTGAAATATAAGGTGCTTCTAAACTACAATATGCCATGGCTGCAACTGGTGGTTCTACTCATGATACTGTACCACTTTCCCCAAGGAACCCATAGTCAATTCTCAAAAAAAAATTGCACTTTGTATGGAAATCGGTCAGCTGATTGGCCAAGTCTCCATACGAACAACCGTGGCATATATTTTAGAAGCACCTTATATAACAACATTAGATACTGTAAAATAAAAGATATTATTTTTACTCATTCATGGTCAATTATTTATTTATTTATTTCGGAACATTTTAAATGTAAACCTTATATTAAATCAGTTCCTATCTTATCATTAATCTTAATCTTAGTTCTTAACCTTAATCTTAGTTAATTAGTTATTAATCTTAGAAATCCCTGCCTAATTAATAATTAGCCATATTACAAAAATGAAATAAACTTTATATTCTCCTAGTAAACATCTGGATAGGAGTCCGTAAATTAAATAAAAAAATAATGTTTTTGATTCAACATTCATTATCCTCAAGTATTTTTTATTACAATTAAAGGGTATTTGTTTTCAACAATCATATTACACCAACTTTTCTTGTCTATCTAGTCATATTTAAAATTTACCAGAATCAGGGTATGGTGCAAAAACACCAAAGATCTGCCTTATCTGGCAGAAGTTTGTTACGTTTTTTTCGTAGGTATGTGTTTCCTGCGGTGTGCGGACGGGGTATTTGAAGTAAATGCGTAAACAAGTCACGACGCGTCGCTCTCGAGTAAAGCGTGCGAAAATTAACCGAAGTTCGGCCGAAGTTCGGATTCGGTTCAAATCACATTCAGCCCATCTCTAATATATATATATATATATATATATATATATATATATATATATATATTTCACTATATTGATTCTACGTCCTTTCATTTCGCATTATTGTAGCGTCCACCACTTGTAAGCAACTTTAATACATTATGACTGCGAATATTGGTCCATTAAACAATTTCAAAGATAGTGTTTAACTCATTTCTTTGAAAATTTACCATATATCGATATACAAATATTCGTATATTGCCAGACGGAGGGAAACCAATCAGGACTCCCTTCCATATTACAAATTATCCAGAATCCCCGTAATATACATAGTTTTTAATTCATTCTCCTGCTTAAGGTGACACTAGTCGACATTATTTCCATAGAAATTTCGGAGGGGTTTTACTCCGCTGTTTGACAGTGTACATCAACAGTACATACAAGTGACAGTTAAACATGATATCGTTTTGTCTCATTATTAATTTTGTCTGTACGGAAACAGAATAGTAAAATAAAAAGTCATTAAAAAGTTACGTAAATTTTATCTGTACTTACCTATGTCAATTTGATTTACATTCGATTATAATTATATTCTCAGACGTGCAGGTTTCCTCAATATGTTTTCCTTCACCGCCGAGCACGTGTTAAATCAGACCAATTGCAATTAACAATTTCATTGGTGCCGGCGGGGATCGAACTCGGGTCTGCATGTCTGAGAAATTAAAAAATATATATTTCGAAGACATGTGAAGTTCGTCAACACGCATTGAGGCAGCGTGGCGGACATTTCTTTGCCTTAAAACCCTCTCAGAAATTAGGGGAGGCCTGTGCCCAGCAGTGGGACGTATATAGGCTGTAACTTTACTTTTTTTTACTTTATAAATATATTATTTTACCGACGAAAATTTTAAAGAAAAATAAAAAATAAGCAACCGACAACCTCCTAGGTGGCTTGCGAGATGTCAGTGTTACAAAACAAAACGGCCTAGAAAAACAGACTTTCCAACTGATAGCTAAATCAGCACGCAACAATTTCATTGGTGCCAGTGGGGATCGATCCCGGGTTGCTCCCGTACTGTAATACTTATAACGAGCGCTAACCATGTGAGCAACCATGGCTCTCAACGACATCGTTCCGTTCGTGTACAGCGCTGAAGATAGCAGAGTAAAAAATTAGAGATTGTGGTGTGATTGTGTTGTTGAGTGTGGTGAAATTTGTCATCTATGAGAGTGAATTTTATCTGTGTACTCTGTAACAAACAACTATATAGAAAAAAAATGTGAAAATGACATTTCGCCATTTTTGTTTGTGTACTGGTTAGGAACTCGATCAAAAATTTGATAATTTCTCCGTTTTTATACGTTATTTCTAATGTTTATTTTCATCCTTTATTTTTTATTTGACCAATTTTCTTTTAACAAAATTAAATTCTGAATTCTTTGAGCTTTTTGAGAATATTTTTATTTGAATGTTAGGTAGGTACCTATATTAGTTTTTCAGTAGTAATCGTTTTTGTTGCGACAGTCTCGCGCGGTCGTAAAAAAAGTTACTGCGCGGACAGGTGGGACGAGAATCACTTGCGCGGCGTTGACGATTCGGTGGATAGGTACCTACCTACTGTTATTACCTAAATACCCATAACCTACTATACAACAAAATTTGACAAACTGTCGCTGCGTCGTGGACACTAAAATGTAAACTGCCTACCTACCTGCCTAAGTACGTCGATACTAAGGAAACAGTCTTGACGAGTCACTTGTCTTGATAAAAACATGTGTTTACATCTAGTGATATTGTGTGTATATAAAAAAAAGTAAGAAGACAGGTAAGTATTTTTGAAAACAATTTATAGGTAGGCAGAACTAATTACAATTATTATCTAAATATTATAAATGCGAAAGTTTGGATGGATAGATGTATGTTACTCAATCACGCCAGAACAGCTGAAGGGATCTGGATGATATTTAGCTCAGAGATAGGTTATACCTAGTCTGGAATAACACATTTGATACCGTTTATTCAGGTATTTCGTTCCTGTGGGATAATTTTCGAGTTCACGCGTTTGAAGCCGCTGGCAACAGCTAGTACGGATATAAACTGCGATGACTGTTCCAGTTCATACTTCGGCGTCGTGAACTCTTGAGTGATCGCTGCATGACCACCCGGGGAAAACTAAACATAATAAATTAAGCAATCTATATTAGGTATCTATAGAGCCACAGAGGTATAGTATAAAGCGATAACGCAGCGCCTAATCATTTAGTACGAGTGGCACGATGCCAGGTGAGACAACGTGCTTTTTGGCCGCGCCCACCAATGAGTTCGAGTCCGCGACTTGTGCCACCTACGCAATTCCTTTGTATAGTGCGACGTTGCCACTCTTATTAGTTATTCCGCTTTGTAATATTTTATTTATAGGTGATATTTTGTTTATGTAGGTATTCGATAGATTCCTATAGTCTGTTTTTTTCGCAGGAGACAAAAATAACAGATATTTATTAGATTCGTTTAGCACGAATAATACAGTTTTTATGATTCTGGTTCAGATTAGATTTAATTTTAGTCACTTAAATTTCGTATATTGTTCAAAATAATGAAATAAATCCACAGAATCTGCAGTTACGAAAAAAAGCAATATAATTTTAGTCTCCGGCGAAAAAAAAAGATATATATCATGATTAATTTACCAACTAGTTATTCGTTTACTAAATACGAAAAAATATTTAGACGTCATTTTTCTTCCAATCTTGCTGTACTGAATATTTACGTAGTCCTTATATTAATAATTATAATTGCATAAGTTGATAAAAATGGTATGCAAT